AAAAAAAAAAAAAAAAGGAACCGGGGACGACGACGAGTCTCGTCTGAAAAATCCAATTAATTAATCTCTCAAACTCCTCCCTCCAATCTCGGACAAAAAAAAACGTACAATAAAGATGTGGAATTAAGGGTTGCAAAAAAAAAAAAAGAAAAAAAAAGGAAAAAAGGTGTCTGGGGTTAGGTTAGAATTAAAAAAAATGGAAGAAATATCACGGGATTTTACTTTTCTTATAGGGGCGCGGCATTAGTTGGTCTGCAAAATGATTAAAAGAAAAAAAGAAAAGTTATAAATTAATATAAAATATTCTTTTAAAACCCTATATATATAGGGGGAGTATGGGGGAGGCTTGCAATCCGCAAAAAAATAAGAAGGTTAGGTCTGAAAAATCCAATTTATTAATCCCCCTTCTCCCGAAACCTCTCTCCCCCTACCCAGTCACTGAAAAGTACAATAAAGGTACCGGGGAATAAGGGTTGAAAAAGAGAAAGAAAGAAAGAAAGGAAGAAATAAAAAGGACAAAAAAAAAAGAACAAAAAATGTAGAGAGACAGGGACAGAGTAGTAGTAGTAGTAGGGGGAGAAAAAAAAAAGAAACAGAATGAGAGAGAAGAATAATGTCTGGTTAGGTTAGTATTAAAAGAAAGAGATAGGTAGAGAAAGGGTATATGGAATTAAAAAAAAAAAAAAGAAAAAAAATAAAGAAAAGGGCAGGAAAAAAAATCATATAGATATATACATGAAATTGTATTAGTATTGGTACGCATGCATTGGTGCGTCCTTTTCGTGACACGAGACTGATGTTCCAGACGACGAGGAGGTTGGGGTGGTGGCGGCGGAGGAAGGTGGCGGAGGGTGTACGGTGAAACTCAGCAACGGAGACGAGCCTAACGGCGGGAATAACCGAGGAAGAAGAAGAAGAAGAAGAAGAACAACAACAAGAAGAAGAACAAGAGGAAGAGGAAGAGGAAGAAGAAGGAGGTGGTTGGGGTGGTGGTGGTGGTGGTGGTGGTGGTGGCGAAGAAGGAGTTTGGGGTGGTGGTGGTGGCGGAGGGAAAGAAGGGAGGGGGCGGAGGAGGAGGAGGAGGAGAGGGAGTGGGCGAGGAGGGGGAAGAGGTGGCAGAGGTGGAGGAGGTGGAGGAGGGGTGGTGGTGGTGGAAGAGGAGAAGAAGGAGGCGTGCAGGAACAACAGGAGCAGCCTGCTCGTGTTGTTGCAGGTGCCGGGGGCGCCAAAAGCGGCGTTGGTTCAACCAAAGCCGCGCATGCTTTACCAACAACAACAACAACAACAGCAATCCCAACAACAGCAACAGCAATTGCAATTGCAATTGCAACAGCAACGTATTATTGGTACAGGAACAACAACTACGACGACGACGACGACGACGATACCGGTTGCAACGTCATCATACAACAACATGTTCCCCCAACAATACTGCCTGAGATGGAAGTACCATCACAGCAACCTGCAGACTATGTTCTCACAACTACTCGAAAGGCAGGCCTATTGCGATGTCACGCTAGCATGCGAAGGCCAGACCCTAAGAGCTCACAAGGTAATATCAACATTTTTTATCACATCTGATATTATTATTAATATTCTTTTGGTTATTATTTATTTATTATGACAATGTTAACCCCTTAACCTACAATTACGGGTATAGTCCCCCATAGTACGATGATCGGGTCAGATATAAATATATTTGCAGCTGGTCCTCTTAATATTAGAAATATTTGTAATATATAATAAATATAATACAAATTTTCGAACGTAAATTGTAGGTTAAAGGGGTTAACCAACATTTGTTAATCAAACAAATGACGACACTATGCTGCATTGTTTTTTTTTTATCTAATTGAATTTTGATTAGGAATCTTGGTTTATATTAAGTTACTGTATTCTGTTCTTGAGTTTATCTGTTTTTGGGACAACACTTTTTAGAAGAATCTTATTATTTCGGATATGTAATGTGGTTTAAGAATTGATTTTGATTATTATTACATGTTTATTTATTAGTCTATTATATTTTGAGGATTAAAGTATCATCAACGAATTGGTATATGTTATATCTGAAGTGTGTAAGGATTTGGATTATTGTATGCAATCCTTTCACGTATTTGTGAAAACTGAATCTTTCTGAAGTTTTAGGGGTTGAGAGAATATTGTCATCGATTGATCAGATTTATTCTTTTTATTGATACTTAGAATCACATAAAAATGAATCATTGGAATATGCAATTCTGTGGAAATAAGTATCAAAGTTAAATCGATCGAGTTTAACAAAATGCAAATCCAGACAAATGCGGTCCTTTTGAAATGACGTTCTCAAATGCTATGAAGTAATTGATCGAGTTTATACTTTGTGTTTTCCTTTTTTTCTTTTACCGGGATATATCAACCAAGAAAAAGTTGCAATCTGATTATTTACTTTATACAATCCTTTGAACTTATTTTCCATGCCTTTTTTATTGATTTCTTTTGAAAGGTGCAACCTCTTAAAGAAAGAGTACTTCGGGGTTTCCGAAATATCGTTCAAGTATTATAATTGATCGAGTTTTAACAGTGTTCATATTCTGAATACGTCATCCCAGAAATTTCTCCTAGTTTGGATCGTTAAAGAAACTTTCGAACGTTTGAGCGAGCAGAAAGGAAAAACTTATTTTCAAAAAGGTTAGATACTTTATATTCACACTTTAATAATTTAACTTATTATTCTCTGCCACCTATATATAAATTATATCCTCAAATGAAAAAAAAAAAAAAATAGAAAGGAAGAAGAATAGAAGATTTTCATGCCGTAAATTTTGAAATAACTTTGCCCGCGCATCGTAAATATCTCGACAACTTCGTGGTGTCGATTTTTCGGTTGCATCTTAATTCACTTTCCAAAACGCGCCAAAAGAAGTAGAACTTCCAAAATAGAGTATTCAAAAATTTCAATAGACTCGAAACAGCAACCACAAACCTCAACAGACCCAAAACAATAACCAGAACCCCCCCGAACAGACCCAAAACAGTAACCAGAACCTCCAACAGATCCAAAACAACAACCAGACTCTCCAACAGACCCAAAACAACAACCAGACTCTCTAACAGACCCAAAACAACAACCAGACTCTCTAACAGACCCAAAACAACAACAAGAAACCTCAATAGACCCAAAACAACAATCACAAATCCCAAATTCAATATTTTTCTACTGTTATCTTCGATAACCAGGAACGAAGGAGTTTCTGATGATAGTAGAGTCGAGGTAGCGAACGGGATAGGAACGGCCAGGTAAAGGGGGATGATAGGAGGGGTAGATGGGGGTTGGTTACGTTCGTCTGGGCAGCCGAAGCGAGCGATCGGCTAGGTAGAGGGAAAACTCTGGCGATAATTGAACGGCCTTCCTTTCCACGAAGCGAATGGGCTTCGATCGGTTGGCCCAGACAGGGGGGTGGAGGGGTTGGGGAAGAACCGTAGGAGGCGGAAGAAGAACAGCAAGAAGATGATGAAGAACCCAGGTCTGCTGGTGGTGGTGGTAGTGGTGGTTGGTTGGTTGGGTTGTCGTGGAAAAGTAGAAAGAGAAAGAAAGAATAGGTGGACGTGAAAAAGAGGAAGAAGGAAGAGATGGTGAACGAGAACAGGGACAGGGGCAGGGGTAGGGGGTGAACCTCGGCGGGTTGTGTTGTATGGTGGTGGTGGTGGTAGTGGGGGATGAAAAAAAAGGGGGACAATCTCGCGCAGAGTTTTCATCGACTGACGCTCTGCGCCGCGCGCGACTTTTGCTCTCCCTTTTATTTTTGTTTGTTTGTTCCTTTTCCCCAATTCTTTTTCTTTTTCTTGTTTCTTTTTTTTTTTTTAATTTCCGAGCGCATCTTTTTTCCATTCACCCCCTTGCCCACCGCCGCCGCCGCCGCCGCCGCCGCTCCGACCCGTCGTAACTCATTTTTTATTTTATCGTTGTTATTCGATCTACGAATGCTAGACGAGGGGTTGGTTTGTTGGTTGGTTGAGTGGGTGAGGGGAACGACACGCGCGTTTATCTTTTTCGTTAAACGAAAAACCACCCCCAACCGACCGACCACTCCGTTTCTTCTACTAGTAGAGCTTTTGAGCCTTGTGTATGTTGTGTATACATACTAACGTGTGTTGGTGTGTGTTCTGGGTGCAGAAAAAGAAACGTACCCGCGATTCGTCTTATTGGATTGTATACTTGAAAAAGAAAATATGAAAAAGAAGAAGAAGAAAAAAAAAAACAAGAAAGAGATCACCAGCAAGAACCAACCAACCAACCAACCACTACCACCAGCAGCACCCAGCATTACCACCACCACCGCCACCACCCTTTAACGTTGGCCCCGAGGAACATAAAACTTGACAAACGATCAATTTTCTGTTCTTTGTTTCTTACCCAGGGTGCTGGATGGGAAACTACCTTCCTCTTTTTTTCTCTCTCTTATTCTTTCACTTCTTCTCACCCCTTTTACTCTTCACCTCCTCATTCCCCCAAGCAACCAACCAGCCAGCCAGCCAGCTAGCCAGTCAGCCACCCACCCACGCGCAATATACCATGTTTTCACCCCTTTTCCCAAACCCAACTACCACCAACCAACCGACCCCCTCCCCCTCCTCCTTCGCGTTCTTTCATCGCGCGTCCTTCTCTCTTTTTTTTTTATTTTTTTTTTTATACTTTCTTCCTTCCTTTTCCTTTTCTTCCTTCCTCATTCTTTTTTGCCCCCCTCCACCCCTCCCCCGCCGTTTCAGCCGCCGCCGCCGTTGCTGCTGCCACCGCCTGCGCCTCCAACCAACCCCCCCCCCTCGGCCCCGGAATTTTTCTTTTTTTTTTTCTTTTTCTTTTCTCTTTCCTCCACCTCCTCCTCCTTCTACTACACCCTCCCCCCTCTGCCCCCCTCGTCGTCGTCGTGGCCTATGCGTCGAAACGAGCCGCGCAGAGGAGGAGAGTCAGGCAGGCACTCTATCAAAGTAGAAAGAGAAGAAAAAAAAAAGAGAGAGAGAGTACCGTTTGGCTTGGTTTATTTTTTACTTTGGGAGGGGTCCAAATTGTAAAATCAATACTTCCTCCTAAATTTAGAATGCCGCCGACGCCGACGCCGACGCCGAACCCGAAGCCGTGGGAAAGAAATACACACACATATATATATACACAGACAAACGCACAAAAAACTTAAACAGCGACTGTCTTTTTGGTTTTTGATATTTTTTTATTCCCACCCTTTAGACCCTCGTAGACCTCCTAGACCCCCAGACCACCCCACTTTCTCGTTTCTTATTTTTCCATCATCTTATTTTTAGTTTTATTGTTTTTTTGTTTATTGGTTGTTTAGGAGTATCTTTAAGGAACGGGATAACGAGTTTCCGGAGTGTTCTCTGAGTTTGGGGGGTTGGGTCGGGTTGGGTTGGGTTTTGTTCGTAAATGGGTTTTTTAGATTTTGTGGAAAACAGAACAAAATGTAGGAACCCCACATTAAACGTTGTTACTACGTTTACTATTATTGTTCATGATGATTCTATTGGAAATTGATTAACCCTTTAAACTACGATTTACGTTAGAAAATATTTGTATATTATTTTATTTTATTTTTATATTTATTATATATTAAATTTTGATCAGAAATATTTTTAATTTTAAGAAGACCCACCGCTAATATTTAAATCTGATCCGATCATTGTACTCTACGGGCTATATGCCTGTAGTTGTAGGTTAAGGGGTTAAAGAAGGGTTGAAAAGTTAGGGTTTGAGTGGGGGGGGAGGTTAGGATTCAAGTAGAGTCCAAGTAAAAACTTTGGAAATGTTCAACGTTGGTTTTGAAAGTATAAAAATGATTGTAATTGTTGGTAATAATCACGAATAATAAACATGATACTGATACTCATATCTAGGATAAGGGGGAGAAAAAAAAGGGTAGATTAGGAGGGTACATATCAGTCTATTGAATCAGTTGGATTATTGGGGGTCGGGGGAAGGGAGGGAGTCCTATCAAAAATTATAATTATCAGAATAATTCAAATATCAGATGATAAAGGGGCCCTGCTGCTGTCTTGTTGGTCTGTAGGGTTGGTAAATACTCGTTTAATAGATTTTTGTTCTAATTTCAAAATGAATTAAAAAACACAGCCCACTTTTTCCTTTTCATCCCTCTAAATCTTTAAATAAACGGTGAGTTTTTGGGTGGGTACATTTCAATGGAAAGAAACCTTATGATTTGTAATTGTTATCGTATAATTATTATACTGTTTATGATGATGATTCTATTGGGTAATGAATTTAAATAAGTGTTGAAAAGATATAAGGTAGAGTGTTTAGGGTGGTTGGGGTTTAAGGGGGTTGGTGGAGTTCAAGTAGAGTCAAAGTTTCCGGTAAAGAATTGGAAATACCTTTTTATTTTTTCGAACGAATGGATCAACGAGAAAAAAGGGGTTGGGAAAAAGTTCAGTTAAAGCAAATACTGATGTAGAATGAAAGAGAGAGAGAGAGAGAGAGAGAGAACTAGTAGGGGTAAAAAGATGACGGAAGGGTTGCCTTGTTCCCCCCCATCCCATACCCCCCTT